AAAAAAAAAAAAAGAAGAAGAAGAAGAAATATTCACTCACAGCAACCCAGAGTCAGGTGCCATTATTATCCTCACCATTTTGCGGATGGGCAAACTGAGGCACAGAGAAGGGAAGTGGCTTGCCCACAGCCTCCCTGGTAGTAAGTTACGGAGCTGGGACTTGAACCCAGGCAGCCCAGCTCTAGTGTCCTCTTCTATCTCATTGTTGCTGTGATCCCATTTTGGAAACCAATGAGTCAGACGGGCTCCTCAGGGGTCCCTGTCACCCTCCTTGACGGGGCTGTTGGTTTCATCTCTGTTTCCTTGTTGGGCCAGCTCAGTGCCTCATAGGGGCTGAGTGGATGTTGCCCAGTGCAGGGGGGTGAGGGATAGAAGTACCTTAGGCTCCGGATGATGGTGAAACACAAGCCTCCAATCAGCACCCCAGCTCCCGAGATTCCAGCCACGATGAGCGAAATGGCAGCGCCTCCGGACAGGGACAGAGTGGGGTCTGGCTCCATGGGCTCTGCTTCTGTTGGCTGTATGATGGCTTCAGTGGACCAAGGAGGAGTGAGATTGGAGGAGCCATCTGCCCACCCTCCCTGCTCTCCCCTCCCTCCCGCCATTCCCCCTCCCAAGTGTCTCTTCAATCCATCCTTCTCTTCCATCCTCCAGCTCTCCAGCCCCCTCTCCTCCCTGCTCTCTTGCCCCAGTCCAGCGCCCACCCACCTTCCTTCCACCTGGAAGCCAGGAGGATCTTTCTAAAGCTCACACCTGACCCTGTTCCTCCCCTGCTCAGAACCCTGCTTTGGCTCCCCAGCACCCTGGAGCAGAAGTCAGTTCCTCATATCAGCCTTCAGGGCCCTGCCACCTGGCCAGCCTCATCTCTCTCATTGCCCTGACTTTACAGCCCTGCCACCCTGGACTCCACTCAATTTCCCAAGCTCACTCTTTTCTTTCTCTCTTGCCTCCAGGCCTGTCCATGCTGCACTCTCTCTCTGGAATGCATTTATGCCATTTCTCTCCCTTGGATTGCAGAATTCCTTTTTTTTTGGAGACAAGCGTCTCACTCTGTTGCCCAGGCTGGAGTAGAGTGGCACAATCTTGGCTAATTGCGACTTCTACCTCCTGGATTCCAGTAATTCTTGTGTCTCAGCCACCCCGGTAGCTGGGATTACAGGTGTATGACACCATGTCCAGCTAATTTTTGTATTTTTAATAAAGATGGGGTTTCACCATGTTGGCCAGGCTGGTCTCGAACTCCTAGCCTCAAGTGATCCACCTGCTTCGACCTCCAAATGGCCTGCGCTAATTTTTTGTGTTTTTAGTAGAGACGGGGTTTATCCATGTTGGTCAGGCTGGTCTCGAACTCCTGATCTCAGGTGATCCGCCTGCCTCAGCCTCCCAAAGTGCTGAGATTACAGGCGTGAGCCACCACACCCGGCCTGTGTTTCTTCCAACAACGCTGCAGAGGTATATAGGATTACCCCTATTATACACACAAGGAAACTGGGGCTCAGAGAGAAGTCACTTGCCCTAAGTCACCCAGCCAGGAAGGCATGGGAACAGAGACTGAACTAAGTATTGACTGGGTCCCAAACCACTTCTCTGATCCCAACAACCTGCTGTCAGTTTGACTGCCACTCAGGTCTCCATATACCTACTGCATATGGTAATAGTTACAATTAATAACGACAATGCTAATTGCAACAGTGATATTGGCTCACGGTTACTGAGCACCCATTAGTGTTCAGTAGAGCTAAGCATTATTATTTCAAGCTATTCACCTGCTTACCTCATTGAATACTCACAACTACACTCCGGGGTAGGCACTATTATCTTCCCAGTGTTATGGATGAGGAAACTGAGGCACAGAGAAGTCAAGATACTGGCTCAGAGTCACACGGCCAGGGATTCAAATTCCAAAGCCATTGCTTTGAACCACTCCTTAGATGATGATGATTTTTTTTTTTTTTTTTTTTTGGAGACAGAGTCTTCCTCCGTCACTCAGGCTGGAGTGCAGTGGTGCGATCACAGCTCACTGCAGCCTTAAACTCCTGGGCTCAACTGATCCTCCCATCACAGCCTCCCAAATAGCTGGGACTACAGGTGGTGCCACCATGCCTAATTAATTTTTTAGTTTTTTTTGTAGAGACAGAGTCTCACTATGTTGTCCACGTTGGTCTCTAACTTCTGGGCTTGAGTGATCCTCCCACCTCAGCCTCCCCAAAGTGCTGGGGTTACAGGTGTGAGCCACTGTGCCTGGCCCACTTCTTAGACTATGATCTGCATTTTTTGAAGGTATGTGCTGAGACTCAGCGAGGTGAAGAGGCTTCCCATGTTCATGTAGCCAGCAAATGGTTGGAGCCAAGGACCCAGGTAGCCTGGTCCAGATCCTGAGCTGGGCTTTCATTGTAGTTAACCTCTTTGAACTTGTCATCTGAAAATGGCCTAATTGGCTGGGCATGGTGGCTCACTTCTGTAATCCCAGCAATTTGGGAGGCCAAGGTGGGCGGATCACTCAAGCCCAGGAGTTCAAGACCAGCCTGGCCAACACAGTGAAAACCCGTCTCTCCTAAAAATACAAAACTAGCCCAGGTGTGGAGGCACACGCCTGTAATCCCAGCTACTCAGGAGGCTGAGGCATGAGAATCACTTAAACCTGAGAGGCAAGGGTTGCAGGTGAGTTGAGATTGTGCCACTGCACTCCAGCCTGGGTGATGGAGCAGGACTCTGTCTCAAGAGAAAGAAGAAGAAGAAGGAGGAAGAGGATAAGGAAAACGAAGAGGAGAAGAAGGAGGAAGAAAGTGGCCTAATAATCCATAGCTTACCAGGTGGATGAAACATTAGAATGACATTTGCCTATAAAGGGTCTCACAGGGACCGCTCATAGAAGGTGGCTAAATGGAATCAGCAAGGCTGCCCCAGGCTGGAGAGGGTGCAGGGCTCTTGGGTAGGGTGGGGGACTCACTTGGCAGTGAGATGGTCACAGGCGCAGAGACCAGCTGTTCCTTGCTGTTTGTGGCTGTGCACATATAGGTGCCCAACTGCTCCGTGGACAACCGCCGGATGAACAGCCTCTCTCCTATTCCGCAGGGCACCCCATTGTGGGTCCAGCTCACCACAGGCTCAGGGTTCATTATCACCATCCACTGCAGGATCACAGAATAGTTGAGCTCAGTCTGGATGACGCCCTCAAAAGCGGCTGGGAATGTCTTCAGTTGCGCTGGTGGGAAGCTGTCTGTGCAAACAGGGAACAAGGCCACAAGAGTGGAGACCACTCAGAAAAGCTGGGTATGCCTTCTGCCCACCATGTTCATTCTTTCATGTGTTCATTCATTCATTCGTCCAAGAATGTGTTTGAAGAGCCCAGTCTGTGTCCAGTGTCCCCAGTCTAACCCCTTCCCCTTCCCACTTCAGTGGCCAGCACATGCATCCTGTTGCCTGAGGGTCTTCAATGGCGGCCAAAGCCTACTCTGCCCATGGAGGCAGCAGGCTGGAAGTGCTGGGGAATGAGCACACCTGGGAGCAGCCTTCCACAATGCTGGGCACAGGTTGGTGTATAAATACCCCAGATCCCTCGCTGCCACGTGGGATAACTCTGCAGAGTCGTTCCACACCAGGGCCCTGACTTCCCCAGTGGGACTGTGCTCTAGCTGCCCACAGTAAGCAGGTTGGGAACACAGCTCTTATTATTTCCCGCCTTCTCTGCCTAACTTCCTCATTCTCCAGTTCCTTGCACCTCCCAAACAGACTATCTGACCTTAAATCCTCGGCTCTGGATCTGGGTGAACCAAATCTAGGACTCCGAGGCTCTAGGGCTCAGGGGCTCAGCAGCGATGAAACAGACACAGTCACTACCCTCATGAAACTTATGATTGAGTGACGAGAGAGTCAATAAACAGACCAATAAATACATATGGTGGTGGTAAGTGCTGTGAGGAAAACTGCAGAGAGATGAGGGGTTGGACTGCGGGGGGGGTAAGCCCATTTCAGGTAAAGCAGATCAAGGAGGGCCTCTTTGAGGAGCTAATGTTTGAGCAGAGTCCTGAAGAAGCAGAGGAAGGAACCATGTGGATTCCTAAGGAAAATACCCCTCCTGGGTTCAAGTGATTCTCCTGCCTCTGCCTCCTTATAGCTGGGATTACAGGCACCCACCACCACGCCCGACTAATTTTTGTATTTTTAGTAGAGATGGGGTTTCACCATGTTGGCCAGGCTGGTCTTGAACTCCTGACCTCAGGTGATCCACCCGCCTTGGCCTCCCAAAGTGCTGGGATTACAGGTGTGAGCCACTGCACTTGACCATGGATTGGGCCCTTGCTATGAGCCAAGTACACATGGGTAAAGGTGTTTGGGCCACAGGGGCGGAGCTCTCATGGCTTGGTGCTGTCCTGATGGTAGTGAGTTCTCGTGATATCTGATAGCTGTAAAATGTGGCAATTCCCCCGATTCTCTCTTGCTCCTGTTCTCACCACGAGAGACACCTGCTCCTCCTTTGCCTTCCACTATGAGTAGAAGCTCCCTGGGGACTCCCTGGAAGCTAGGCAGATGCTGGCACCATGCTTCTACCTGTGAAACCATGAGCCAAATAAACCTCTTTAAAAAAATAAAATAAATGACCCTGTCTTAGGTATGTCTTTATAGCAATGCAAGAACAACCTAACACAATGTCAATGACAAAAAATAGCTACAACACATTATAACTCCTCTCCTTAAGAGGTGGGACCTATTTTCCTCCTGTTGAAGCTGGGCTGGCCATGTGACTTGCTTTGGTCAATAGAAGGTGGCGGAAGTGATGGCAGTCAGTTTCCAGCCTGGGCCTGAAGGAGTTTTGCAGCCTCACCTCTTGTTCCTCTTTCATTGCTGAGTGAACAAGCCCGGGATAGCCAGCTGGAGGACGGGAGGCTCTATGGCCCACTCACCCCCATCACTCCAGCCACCAGCCAGGCCATCGCCAGGCACATGATGGAGGCCATTCTGGACCAGCCAACACCCAGACACCCCAACAGCTGACCACAAGAACTATCCAGCTAGATAAGTGATTGATATTTTAAGTTTTGGGGTGGTTTGTTGGGGAGCAATTGATAACTAGCACAGAATGTGCCCTGGTGGGCTCTTCTGGGGTCCAGTGGGTCTGCTTTCTGAGAAGTCAGTCCCTCCCATGTTGGGGCTCCACTCACTCTTGACATGGATCTGCTCTGTTGCACTCCTGCGCCCCCTGCTGGTTTTCAGCACGACGGTGTAGCTGCCCGAGTCCTGAGCCGTCACGTTTCGAATGACCAGGCTGCCTTGGGCGCCCAGCATCTCCCGGCCAGTGTGGGCAGGTCCTGGGAGGCCCTCCGGGGAGAATATCATGGCTGCTGGCTGGGCGTCATGCCCTCGGAACCAAGACGTGGTGAGAATGCCATCGAGTCTTCTGGGGACAGAAAGGTGGGCACTGGCTCCTTCGGTCCAGGTGTTCAGCTGTGTTGAGAAGGGCAGCTCCGAGAAGGCAGAGCAGGTGCAGGATGTGAGCAGGATGCCTTGGAGGAGCAGGGAAGGAGGAGACAAGGGGGGCAAGTGAGAACAAAGGCGAAATGCTGTCTGTGCCAGTGACCATTCCCAAGCCGCTTAGAGTGAGTGTGGGGCATCGAGAGCTGACGATGACAGTGACAATAATGATAAAAGTAGAGGAGAACACTCACAGAGAACACTCACTAGCACCCACCACAAGCCTGACTCTGTTCTAAGTTTCCAGCCTGGTTGTGTATCACCTCACTGGTTCCTCTCCTTGACCCTATGGAGCACACAGTTGTATTAAACTGGATGTTGCAAAAAGTGGTTTTCTACCTTCTCTGCTCCACTCTGCTGCCTGAAAGGCTGACTTCTCTGAGCTGTGTTGCTGGGGTCCCCTTACCTTTTGCCGCGGGTTAGTTTCTGTCGGCGGTGCACTGGCAGAAGAGAGGGCAGCCGGGGAGTGAGCTTGAAGGGAGTAGTCCCACAGTTGGCTGGGTCCTTCTGTTCCAGCCCACAGCTCCTGCTGAGTGGCCCTCTCCATACACTACTGATGTCTTCCGGTTCTGGGATCTGCTTTTCTCCTTATAGCTTCCAGCCTGAGGGAGGTAATAGCTCCCTGCTGTTGCTAGGCCCTGGGTGCTGCATTATCCCATGCTCTTCCCATCCCTCACCTACACCTCTGCTGCAAATTGTCCCTGTCTTAAACTCTCCTTACCACTCCCTTAGAATAGACCAACTGTTTCTTGCCTCAACCCTGATTGATACGACTACGGTACCCCATTTAGATGAGGAAGCAGAGACTAAGAGAATCTGAAACATTTTCCCAGGATGTCATAGGTGGTAAACAGCAGAACCATGATCCACATGCAGGCAGTCAAAATTCTCAGCTACTAAACTATCCTGCCCAACTCCTGCCTTAGTTTCTCTCACATCCTCTCATTCAATTTCCATACTGCTTGGAACTTGGAGTTGAACCCCTGGAGTTTGGTTCCAGATCCCACACAGTTACCCAACCTGCTCTTCTTTCTCTCACTGGAATGGTGTGGTAGGAATACAAGCTCTAGCCATAAAGACTAAAAAAAAATTATGTAAAATGAAAAAAAAACCAACACACCTGAAAGGTTAAAAAAATTCCCATCACTCACAAAGTCAAAAGAACGACAACCAGGAGAAACTCATTCTAACTGACGTCATAGACAAAGAGCTCGTATCACTAATATATAAAGAGCTCCTCGAAATTAATAAGAAAAATATCAGCAACCCAGCAGAAAAATACACACAGCATATGAATAGGCAGTTCATAGAAAAGAAAACTATCTCTCAATGTAGGGAAAATGCTCAATTCTACTCATAGTAAGATAAATGTAAATGAAAACAAGCTGAGATAACCTTTTCAGCAAAGATCCAAAAGCTTGATGATGACTTGTTGTGTTGTGATGCTGAGGGCAACAGAAACGCCTATGCTTTCCTGGTACATAGGATTGCCCTGCGAGGGCAATCTGGTAAAGTCCTTCAAAATTACAAATTCTTGTATCCTTTGACCCTCTAATTAAATGTCAGGGACGCGTTCTATAGATAGACTTTCACAGAACAAAATGACCAGTTCATAGTGTTGTCACACCCTATTTACAATAGCAAAAGATTGGAAATACCCAACTCTTCAACAATAGGGGACTGATGAAATAAATAATGGTTCACTTATTTCATAAATGTAATCACTTATTTTAAAGCTCTCTTAAAAAAGCAATATAATAGATGGTAACTTTTAAGGATCAGAAATATCCATTTACAGAATGCATGTTAAAACATCAGCTTTCTTCTTGGTTAAACGAATGAGATGTGGTGGCTGGAGATACCCACTCCCAGGAGCTCATCACCAGATACAAACACACTGGGCTCTGGAAGCGGGTGTGAGGTCTCAGAAGCAGCTTTGGGTGATCAGCTGACACTGCATGCTGGCTGAGGCTGAGTGCCAGGGACCATGCAAAGCCCTTCCAACTTGGTATCCTGACCAGGATACCTCATTGAGCCCCTCAACAACTCTGAAGTTGGTGCTGGTCTGTTTTACAAGGAAAGAAACTAAGGGAAAGCAAGTTTGAGTCTTAGATTCAGAGTCATAGTGGAGAGCTGGGAGTTGCGGGGATCACTCATTGCCCACCTCCCACCTCGATTGAGTTAATCTCCAAGTCAGCAGCTGGTGTGACCTACCTACTTTCCTTCCTTCCTTCCCTCCCTCCCTCCTTGCTTTCTCCTTCCCTCCTTTCTTTCTTTCCTTCTTTCTCTCTCTCTCTCTCCCTCCCTCCCTCCCTTCCTTCCTCTCTCTGTGTCTCTCTTTCTCAACGGACTCTTGCTCTGTTGCCAGGCTGGAGTACGGTAGTGTGATCTTAGCTCACTGTGGCCCCCACCTCCTGGGTTCCAGTGATTCTCCTGTCTCAGTCTCCCAAGTGGCTGGGACTACAGGCGTGTGCCAACACACTCAGCTAATTTCTGTTTTTTTAGTAGAGACAGGGTTTCACCATGTTGGCCATCATGGTCTCGATCTCTTGACCTCATGATCCGCTTGCCTCGGCCTCCCAAAGTGCTGGGATCACAGGCGGGAGCCACCGCACCTGGCCTTGAAAAACAACTTTCTAAAAGCTGGTTGCTATTTTATCCAGTGGCATAGCCAATTCCCAAAGTGCCCCACCCTCTCTGTCCCCACCCCAGGAAGATCCAGCAGCACACAGCATGCCTTTTTTCCAACTTACAACGACAGCAGCCAGGGAGAAACTTTCCCAACTGCTTTTCTTTCCTTCCTCCCCTCTGCCCTCTGCCCTGAGAGAAGCCTCAGACAACAGCTCTGATGAAATACAGAAGAGGACCATCACGTCCCTTTCCTCCTTCCAGTGTGACACAGGCCTGAGCTGGGGACACAGCAAAGCTTTGAACTGGGTGGACTTTGGGTTTTAAAACTACACAGAACTGAACTTGTAAGACTTGGAACAGGAAGTAATTCAGTCACTGTCTGAGAGACAGGTGTGTGTGGTCTCTGGCAAGTGTTGTCTGGGAAGCCGGCCCACCTGCCTTCAAATCTTCATTCTGCCACTTCCATGTGTGCGACCCGGACAGGGCACATGGCCTCTCTGAACCTCAGTTTCCCCTTCTGTGACATAGGGATCATCCAGCCCTGATCTCAAAGGGTTGTGATAACAGTTAAATGTTACTACATGATAGCACTTAGAATGGGCTGACAGGCTGGGCGCAGTGGCTCACACCTATAATCCTGACACTCGGGGAGGTTGAGGCAGGAGGATCGCTTGAGCCCAGGGTTCAAGACTAGTCTGGGCAACATAGTTAAGACCTCATCTTTACTTAAAGATAAAAAATATATATAACTGGGTTTGGTGGCGCATACCTGTGGTCCCAGCTACACAGGACACTGAGGCAGGAGAATGGCTTGAACCCAGCAAGAGGAAGCTGCAGTAAGCCATTGTCATGCCACTGCACTCTAGCCTGGACAACAGAGCAAGACCTTGTCACAAACAAACAAACACCGCAAGCGGGCTGGCACGCAGACCTGTTCAGTCACGGTGACGTTCTATTACGGCTGATGTTATTATTTTATTATTGTTATTACTTATATTGATTATTACTAGGTTGTGGATTGCTGGGGTGAGACAGGGCACCTGGTGAAAGGGGGCTGGCCTGGTGTCCTGAATTCTGATCCCACCCCTTGCCAGCCCTGAGATCTTGGGTAGGTGACCTGGTCCCCTCTTTGCGCCTCACTTCCCTTCTTCCTAAAAGAAGCCAATAGGATCATCTCTTGCGTCAGGGTGGCCTTCAAGAGTTCCCGTAAGTTGGTAGCCTGAGCTTCTTGGGCCTCAAACTGCCCAGGGTCGAAGCTCTGAGTGGGGCGATTTGGATTTGAACAGACTCTCTCCTCCTTGTCCCTCCCCGTGGTGAAGCCGCTGTCTCCAACGCACCTGTTAAAAGCAGCTTCCTCCAGGCAGGGGTGTGGCCGGAGCTGACGTCCAGAGGACTCCTCATCTCGAATTCTGTCCAGGGACCGTGCAGAGGTCTCTTCCTCACACGTCGGGTCTTTATAGACCTGCGCAGTCGCGTCTGCAGCCTCGGCCCCGCCCTGCAGGACCCCGGCCACAATGACCACGCCCACCCTGGCCACGTCCCCATGTGACTTTTTGAGTTAGCTGGGAAGTCACCTCCAGCTGCACCCTTCTCTAGCACTGGGTCAGTGGTGGCGGTGGGTGGGGACCAGACCGGGACAGGGTTTCTGGGGAGGAGGCCCCGAGGTTTTGCTCTCATTCCTTCACGCTACAACCCCTGCCGGGAGATGGAGGGAGGAGCGGAATCGCCCGATCATTCACATCAAAGGCAAGGAATGGCCAAAGGTCACCTGGTAGGAGGTGAAGGGGCCTTCTGCTGGCCTCCTGGGTTCTCTCCTGGACTCTGAACCACAGCTTTCTTCCTCTGTAATGAGAAAATGTTTATTTCATGTGTACATTAAAAATTTCCAGAGAAGCCAAAAAGAAGTATTCACTCCCTGCCTTGTCATTTCTGGAAAGATTGTGGGGAGATACTTTACTGCATATTCATTGATATATTGTTCTGCTAAGAAAATTTAAAACAAAATGAAGGTGTTAATAATAGTGCCTGCCCCAGAGTCAGAGGGGACCGTGGACACAAGGTGGTTGGCGTTGTGCCTAGTCACATAGTAGGTGCTTGATGAATGTCAGTCACTATGAAGTCAGTGCTAATTATAATTTGATATCTAAGATGTCCTGGAGGTGTGTTCAGAATCCCGGTATCAGGACCTTGCTCAGACTATATCCTGAATTTTAGATTCTAGAAGGATAAGCCACACTACATTAACTAGCTCCTTTTTCCTCACCATTTTCACTCCCCAGGCCCGTTTTTTCCTCCTCAAATTAATAATTATATTGCTCGAACCAATCGCTGGTGTTTACTCAACACCTACTATATGCTGGACACAGCATTAGCCCTGTAAGAGCGTTGACTAATTGGATCCTCATACTAACCTCCAGGAGTAGATATGAGCGTCCTCATTTTCCAGTGGTGTACAGGTGCTGAGTAACTCGCCTACTGTCACACAGCCGTTCACAGGGGCTTTCTGCCGGTTTTTGGAGGGCGCCAGCTCAGGGCCTTTGCACGTGCTCTTCCCTTTCTTAGACCCTTATTCATGTAATCTCAAAGCCGACTATCTCATTATTTTGGCTTAATTCACACACATCACCTCCTCACAAAGGCCTTTCCTAATGTCTGCTGCAACTCAGGCCCCCAGCTCTTTGCTAGCAAGCCACACTGTGTTGTTTTCTTCTTGACATCATTTACTGCTCTCTTAGATGATTTCTTTGTCCAGTTGTGTTATGTCTCTCCTCCTTAGTCTCACCCCTCCAACTTAAACGTCAGATCCAGGAGGGTAGGGGTGTTAATCTGGTGTGTGGCTCTGCCCCTGGTGACTAGAACAGTGCCTTGCACATAACAAGTGCTCAACACACTTTTTTTTTTTTTTTTTTTTTTGAGATGGGGTCTCACTCTATCAGCCACGCTGGAGTGCAGTGGCACAATCAGCTCTCTGCAGCCTGAACCTTCTGGATTCAAGCAATAATCCTGCCTCGGTCTCCTGAGTAGCTGGGACTTGTCCTTCCATCTTGGAACCACTTTCAATCCATGCGCCCAGCTTCAAGCAGACCCTGAGCAATCTCTGGAAATCTGTTTATTTCTCTTTGGTCAGTTCCTGGTTCCAATTTTCTCAGCAGGCTTTCCAGCCTTTACTGCCATATGCAAAGCCTAGGTCACTCTCATAATCATACCTGAGAACCAGCTCGGCTTTCTCTGGTTAAATTTCACTCATTGGGTCTGAACTACCACTCCTAGCCCATTTTAACATTTTTTTGTAGAGACAGGGTCTCACTGTATTACCCAGGCTGGTCTCGAACTTCTGGGCTCAAGTGATCCTCCTGCCTCAGCCTCCCAGAGTGCTGGGATTACAGGCATGAGCCACCGCGCCAGCCGACATGTTTTTTTTTTTAGTGAATAAATGGATGAAGGGCAAGTGAGTGAGATGGAGTGTCCAGACTTGAACTCCGATCTGTCTGACTCAGAAGCTCATGCTTTTCCCTCCCAGAGAGGTTCAGGTTCCACCCAGAGGCTAAGGTTCACCCATGAGTTGTCAATAAGTCATCATCAGATGACACAGTTAATTCTTATTAGCATTTGCTAAAGTGCTTCTTTTACGGTTGGTCTGAAGGCCTCTGCTGGCGTGATGAGCGAGGCCAGAAGACCACTGATAGGCAAAAAGTAAATATCTGCAGTGCAGTTAATAGCCGTTATGCTGTAAGGTTCTGGGGTTTCTGCCCAGCCAGCATTCACTCTCTTTTATCCAGGTAACTGCACCTGGAGTTCCCTTTGGAAACCAACTTCCTCATGGCTCCAAGGAGGTGAGGGGCCTAGGACTGGCCAATCAGAGCACTGCATCCCCTGACAACAGTGATTTATGGAGAATTGCTTGGGTTCAAGCAATTCCCTGCCTCAGCCTCCTGAGTAGCTGGGATTACAGGCACCTGCCACCATGCTAGACTAATTTTTGTATTTTTAGTAGAGATGAGGTTTCACCATCTTGAACTCCTGACCTGGCCTTGGTACCCAGAACAGGCCAAGGAGAAAGCAGTCTTAGGGATTTTATTGGAACTCTGGGGAATAAAGCATTTTTTCTTTTTAAAAATTTCTTATTTTTATTTTTATTTATTTATTTTTTGAGATGAGTCTTGCTCTGTCACCCAGGCTGGAGTACAGTGGCATGATCTTGGCTCACTGCAACCTCTGCCTCTTGGTTTAAGCAATTCCCTGCTTCAGCCTCCCGAGTAGCTGGGACTACAGTCACTAGTCACCATGCCTGCCTAATTTTTCTTATTTTTAGTAGAGATGAGGTTTTACCATCTTGACCAGGCTGATCTTGAACTCCTGACCTTGTGATCCACCTACTTTGGCCTCCCAAAGTTCTGGGATAACAGGTGTGAGCCACTGTGCCCGGCCCTGTTTTTAAAGTTTTATTTATTTATTTAGAGATAGAGTCTTGCTCTGTTGCTCAAGCTGGAGTGCAGTGGTGTGATCTCGGCTCACTGCAACCTCCATCTCTCAGGTTTAAGAGATTCTCATGCCTCAGCCTCCAGATTAGCTGGGATTACAGGCATGTGCCATGATGCCTGGCTAATTTTTTTGTATTTTTAGTAGAGACAGTCTTTCACTATGTTGCCCAGGCTGGTCTTGAACTCCTGGCCTTCAATGATCCGCCTACCTTGGCCTCCCAAAGTGCTGGGATTATAGGTGTGAGCCACTGCGCCCAGCCTAAAAGCATTTTTTCTTTCTTCTGGGTTTGCTGAGCTGCAGAAATCTCAATGTGCAGCTGCTGGGGCCATCTTTCTATCGTGGGTAGAGAGGCTACCTAAGAACGAGGCCAACACATATGAAAGTATAGTCAGTGCATGGAAAGAGAGATTTCTGATAGCATCATTTAAACACCTAGATTCAGCTGTGCCTGATGTCCATACTGATCCTTCAGCTTATGTGCCATGCTGCTCTGTGTATTCTCATTGTTTCCCCTGAGTCAGTTTGTTTTGGGATTCAGTTACTTTAAATCCCCAAAGAGCTTTGATTGAAAGGAAAGATGAATGCTGGAAATAGATAATCGGTGCTGCAAAGAAAAATTAGCACTGAGACAAAGGATCTTTCAGCAATGCAGTTTTTACTTCCCGGACTGCAGGAAGGGTACCCTCTCTAGCCATTGTGCCATGAGAGTACAATGAACAAAGGAAAACACAAATTTATCCCTTATACATTTGGGGTCATCGTTATTGCTGTGTCTGATCTCTGTTGGCTGGAGACAGACCTCAAAATCTAAACTAAAACCTGATTGGCTAACAACTTAAAACTTTTCTAAACAGGTAAAAGCAATGGAGAGCTGGGACAGGCCTGTGAGCACATCCAGCACAGATATCTTGGTTAAAGTACAAGGACATAGAATGTACTATGTGCCTCTAAGCATGGCATGTCTAGCAGCTACATAGGATGGGGCTTAACAAAATTATTAGCACACTTATTCTTTAACAAGAAAGGAAACTTTAAAAAGCAACATTTCTGCTTCCCACAGTGAAGAACAGAGTTTTGAAAGGATCTGACTCTCAATCTAGCTGAGACTCAGGCTGGAGAAGGGAAGACTCTAGGGAAGAGACGGTGAAGCTGACCACCGAGAGAGAAGGAGAACTTAGCAGGTCACTGTTTCTGAGAATTGCTGGACTCCATGCAAACCTCTGCACTAAGAAATGACCAAGGCCAGGCATAGTGGCTCTTGCCTATAATCCCAGCACTTAGAGAGGCTGAAGCGGGAGGATTGCTTGAGGCCAGGTGTTTGAGACCAGCCTGGGAAACAGGACAAGACCTCATTTCTACAAAAAAAATAAACAAATTAGCTGGGGCGTGGTGGCATGCTTGCGCCTGTAGTCTTAGCTACTTGGGAGGCTGAGGTGGGAGGATTGCTTGCGCTCAAGAGTTCGAGGCTGCAGTGAATTATTATTAAGCCACTGTACTCCAGCCTGGGCAACAGAGCAAGACTCTGTCTCAAAAAAAAAGAAAGAAAGAGATGATTAAACTTTAGCAGGGCTTCTAGTAGCATAAGGCATGTTCTTAGGATGATTCCAGCCCCCCAATAAAATGCCACCCAAGGAAGCTCTACCTTGCCAGGATAATTTACTGTTTGACCTAGTCAACATTTGGCAATATAGCCCTATTCCCTTTTCAGAGCATTTACTAAAAAGGGCCTACAACTGTGAATCCTTCCTCTTTCTCTTTGGGATGTGTGTGTATATGTATCTATATCCCACAACTCAGGGTTGTTTTTTTTGTTTTTTGTCTTTTTTTTTTTTTTTTTT